CAACATAATGACTGTGAGGACGAGACTGAAAGCCAAAGAGGCAGGCAAAGAGACTCCTTCTTTGATGAAGCTATCTAGAATAGAGGTTCCCAGCACAGGCCACACAAACATGTGTGTGCACTAATGCGGTGGCAGTGGGACTGACAAGTGACAAAGTCCATGCAATCTTACAGCTCCAAGACCAAAGAGTCCAGCTTTCTTTTCCTGGATGGGGAAACAAGAGAAGGCAAGAGGTTCAAGGACTTGCCCAGAGTTCCCCAAGAGTTAACAGTGAAGCCACTCCCAGAACCAGCCAAGATTTGGGATTTACAGTCGAGAGACCTTTCTGTAATGTCCAAACTACGGCTGGCTATTAATGTGAACAATGCCACCCAGGAAAGTTGGTTCCACTGGAAAGTGCATGCACTCTGGATCCCAAGCTTGCCTCTCCCTGTGCGGCAATGGGTGACGTGGGAGGCGGATGACCTGAGGCCGGCTCAGAGTGGCCACTTTACAGGAGACAAAACACATGATCTTCTCTGCACATCGCCATCCAAACAGTGCTCCACATCTGTAGGGCCCTGCCAGTCCCTGCCAATTATGGCACTGTTATGCTTTAGAAACTAGTGGAAACCTTAGCACCAACTTCCCAACCTGGCCCCATCACAACACGACACCCCTTCTTGCGCTTGCCCCATAATGGTTCTATCCACTCGCGATTTCTCTGGGAGCCAGCTCAAATGATGCCCTGCAGCCTGCGGGTACAACTCCTTGTTCCCCTCTCCATGCTGTCTCTCACCTCTGTTTATATGGCAAATACAGCTCTTTCCACCCCAAATGACAGCAACACAGATCTACCTCTCCCGATCATGGGACCGGGAGAGCAGGGACTGTAATCTTTAATCTCACCTACGTATCCAGAGCACTGAGCACAAGGCAGGAGTTCGATATGGGCTGGAAAATGGAAGTGAATGAACACCCACCGGGTGCCGTATACAAAACGCAAAGCGGACGGGGATGTGAAGGTGTGTAAGTTAAGGCCCATCACCTCAACCAGCTTAATGTCTAGGCGAGGAAACATGGCTGAGATAAACAGTCAGAAGTTCTGGGTCTAAGCAGCATTTCCACAGCGTACTAGGTGGACGGCCTTGGCAAAGGATAGGAGGACAAGGAAACGATGTTTGCATCACGGATGACCAGGAAGGCCACTGCCCAGTGCTCTATATACAGGACCTCAGTGAATTTGTTCAGGAGGCTGATCATATTTTAGACTTGAGGAAACCGGGGCTCGGAGAAGTTAAGCAGTTTGCTGAGCAAACACACAGTTACAGGAAGTGGGGGCAGAATGAAGACGTGGGCCCAAATTCCAAAGCCTGATCCAATTAACCCAACCTTCCCAACTTCCTTTCCAAACCACTAAAGATTGCCTTTATTACTGTTATCCCTACACATTCTCTGGGAAAATACATTGTCTACTAAAAGCTATGTTTTTAAGTAAGAATTTCCCATGTTTATTTATCAAACCCTCTTATCTGGGCTCTAATGGCAAAGCTCCTAATCACTGAGAAATAACTAGTATTATAAGAGATACCATTCTAGCTCAAAGCAAAAACGTGTGTGTGTGTCTATTTTATTTGGCCTATTTAATCTTGCCATGGTGAAAATTAATTTTCATTAGACTTTCTTTTTCCTAAGGACAAACAGAAAAGCAGACATGTCCACCTTCCCAGATCACCGGGGACCTGTTATCTTGAAGTGGGAACCACAGCAACGCACTTTTTAGAGACTCACATCTCCCCAGTCTTTTGAGTAAAAATATCATCTCTAATTACCGTAGCTGTCAAACTGGACACAACTTTGTCAGCCGCAAAACAACAGAAACATTCTCATGCTATCAGATGCTGCAAGTATCAGGAGATCTAAGGGGCCTTGGTATGTCCCATTTTAGCTTGAAACTGCTCACACGTTTTAGACTTTGGTCCCTGGAGAGACTCCCAGGCCACTATACACTTGGGTTGTATCACTGACTGACAAAACGGAAATGGGGTTAGCTCTGATGGTGGGCTCAGGGCTGTCTTATTTTTACATAAGTGTCAACAACCTTTTCTCTCTTTCCAGTACTTGCGCACAAAAACTGTTGGTTATACTTGCATTTCACTTTTTTGCACCCAAATGTTCAAGTTTACATTGGCACTTTAGAGTTTCATTTTCACACTCAGCCAAAATGGGACCATTTGAGCTATCTGGTAGGTTGTCACCATCTCCACACCCCAACGCCTGGCATAACACCTGGGTTGTGTTGGCTGAGAGGGTCCCTTGAACCTCTGAGACTCTTCATCGGGTCTTGCTTCCAAGTCAAGTCCCACAGACCCCCCGGTTCCCAGGCTCTCCATGACCTCTGAACCCAGCCTAAAGGCGCCAGGCGCCCTGCAAGTGAGGACAGCCCTCTGGAACATGTGTCCTGGAAGTGCCATGTTAGTAACCGGTACGCAAACATTTCTCATGCTCAAATAAATTTGGAAAATCAACAGTTTGTCTCTCATTGTGGACTTCCAAGGGCTTTCTTGATGCTCTTGGGCACCGAGAATGTCCTGGTTGGGGGACACAGAGTGGGGCACAGCATGCAGTATTTGGCAAACCCACTAAAAGATGAGTGCATCTTTTAGGACAAGTGTTCCTCAGGACACACATTTGGGGAGAGCTGCCCAAAGCCCCCCATTATTCCTGCAGTTCAAAGTCAAAACTTAGGAGCAAAGTGAGAAGGAACTAGGCCTGCAGAATGCCTGCCACATGGCAGTCCTGCACACATGCCCTTTCCCTGAATCTGGGGCAAACTTTTTAGCTCCATTATACAGATGGGGTAAATGAGGCCCACTAGGGTCAGAAAGAGAGCCAGTATCTCAACGCAGGGACGCCTGACCCCCGAAGCCATGTTTTCCCCTGGAGCCGTTGTTCCTTGAGATAAATTTGCCTCAGAACTTAACTGCAATTTCCCTAGCAATTATTTTGTTAAGAGTGCCTCCTTTTAGCCCTACACGATTTTCTCTCTTCACTCTTTTACACCTCCCATGTCCGTCGCCCACGGAAAGGACAGTTACAACTCCTCTGGCCAGAGGCCATGGCTCCTCCCCTGGGTTTGCCCAGGGCTCGGGTGACTGAGGCCCACAAGAGGGAAAGACATGGGAGTGAAGCAATGGGGTGCAAGGGCACCCTGCCCCATCTGTCCATACACAGGTGCTTCCTCCGCTTCACGCTGGAGTGAGCTGCAGAAACAAGAGGGACTGTTTTCAACATTTTAATTTTTAATAAATGGTTGTGGAAAAAAAATCTCAACTGTTGAGCTGTTTCTTGGTGCTCCTCGCAACCCCTCTTTGAGAAAACAGTGCTATTTTCCTCCTTTCACAGTCCCTAACCTAAATTAAGCATTTGATCTGAATTCGAGTCGCTTATTTATTTTTACTACAATTCTCTAGAAAGGGAAACCCAAAACAACAAGAAATGCAAGCCTGGGTGGACGGCTGATGCAAGGACGACTCCAACGGGAGAAAGCAAGTCAAGGTCTCACAAGGCCGTCTGTGCGGCCCAAGGGGAGTGTGACAGGCAGCAATCTTACCCAAAGCCGCATGGGCAGGGGGGCATCTACTCAACTTCAGGAGACGGGGAAGACTTCTCTTCAAGCAAGAGGGAGGCGATTTTGCATAAAGCTAATTATTTAATCCATTCTGACATGCTTCACCATCCCAGCTCATCTTCTCAAAATGAAAACGAATCCGACTCATCGTGTTAATTGGCTGGATGTCTGGCTCTGCACTTCTCCCCCGGCTCTCTCCCTCCCATCCTTCCCCATCTCAGAAAAATGTCAACAGCAATTTCCAGTCCTCCAGGTTGAAGCTACTTTCCTGGGGCTTTAACGAGGCACACTTCTTGGCTGTCAACACTGAGGTGGCCTTGCTGCCTTTCAATCCAGTGAGCCTTCATTGATCGGCTTTCAGGAGTCCTGCAGTAAAGCAGGAGTTTGGGGTACAGATTCTGCCCCTCATAGAGCCAGAGTCCGCATAACGAGAAGTCAGAGATGTAGGCTTAAATGTTTGCAAAGCTCTGTCTCCCTGTCTAGTAAATGGAGGTGCTAATATTGAACGTGGCTTCATCCCATGGAGGTCATGAGACACAAATGAAAGAAGGCCTGTAAAATGTGGGCAAGAAGGAAGAGTACATCTCCTGTAAAATGGTAGGAGAGTGATCTTCATCTAGACATTTGAAAAGTACATGGCAGGCTGTCCATATGGTTCCTTTATAACACAGTTAAATTCAGAAGCAACTTTTTGTTTTTTTATAGTTTGAAGAGAATGATTCTTTTTTTTCATTTTCTGGATTTTATTTTTTTTTTTTGGTATCTTTTGAATGGGAAGAAAAATCAGGCAAAATTAAATGAGACAAACTGAAAATAAACCTTACACCCTCATTTCCCCTTTCTGAGGGGTAAAATGTTGAGTCTGAGTTAGACTTGAGGGAAAGAAAAGTCCCTATAGTCATTAAGATCAGATCATTTGGCCCCAATAAGGTTGGCTATGTTTTAAGGAAATTTAAATGTGATTTCAAGATAAGTGCATTCTAGTTTGGCACTAAACCAGTGAGAGGCGACATGAAGAGCTGAACACTCCAGCTGTGCACACTCACTGCGTTAAGACTGCTGTGATCTCAGGCATGTAACTGTCAGATTAAATTTAAAGTTCCAGAAATGAGAACACATGCCATGATCACGTTTTCCAAATTGCATTACTAGCTTCTAAAATTTGATTAACTGCTTGCTTTTACACCACGAGCACGTGTGATGGAAATCTACTTGGGAGCCCACCTGACTGAGAGGAAATTTCCTCCAGTAACCATGTGAAAGCCTCAAAAAGGAGACTCTGTCACGAGCACAAGTGAGGCCAATGGTTTGCTCGGTGTCTCTAAAAATGAAAGCAGAAAGGCTCATCCTGAAATTCTTTTAAACAGACGTTTTCTCCAACAAGACCAACCAGAGTACAGAAGATGCACTGGCACTGGGCGATGGTTGTCATCTGCTCCACCGGGTACTCCCCGAGACAGAGCTTGCACGACACCAGCGGATCGAGGGCCAGGTCCCACGTGGGCCGGTACCGCGCTGTGGTCATGGCAGAGCAGTCTGAAATGAGATGAAAAGCACAAGCCATCAGACCTCCACCAGAACCAAGGCAGGGAGCCCTTCTCCCAGCTGCCACTGGGGCCCAGGAGGTGGCAAAGCGACTGCTGATGGGCCTGGGGTTTCGGAGAACTCCTTTGGGTCCTCTGAGAAGTGTTAGCCAGGGGTCCTGGACTTGGATCTGTGGGTGATTCCCTTCCCATACTGATGGCAATGCTCATGTCTACCCTCAAAATGGCAAACGACTCACCCCGCCCCATCCTTGCTCCATCCCTCCACCGGGCATTGAGTAAGATACCTCCCACCAACCAAGCATCTAGCCCACGAGGGCAAAACCTTAGCAGCCGTGGGACAGAAGCTTTTCTTAAAATAGTTATTGATTGAATCAACTGTTCTCCAGTTTCTAGTGTAGAAACATCCCCGAGGAACCCCTCAGTGAAGTCCTTCCCTTTCCATCTGTGGTGCCCTCCCAATGGAATGCAGCTTTGCACACTGGCTTCGATCCATACACCCAAGTGTTACCTGACCCTCCAGAAACAGCCCAAGGACCATTGCCTCCTTAAGCCCTGGTGGATTTTCTAGAATGTAAGCTTCAGGGAGGCAAGGGCCTTTGGTAGATCTGTTCACTTATGCAGGTCAAGTGCAAAACAGGGCCTGGTGTATACAGACACTCAACACACATTAATGGAAGCAATCTTCACTTCCCAGTCCTCCCAGAACATTCTCTAGCCACTTCCTAACCCACTCACAGTCTGTGTTCCCCTGACAGCATGTATTTGTCCACTGCTACATTTATCACACTGATTTCCACTGCTTGCTGCATTAACTAATACAGACTCAAGAACAACAGAAAAGTTGTTAAGCAGAGAAATGATGTGACAAACTTAGTCTTTTAGGAAGTTCAAGCTGATGGCTGAAACCTTTGGCAAAAGCAAAAACCAAAACCTCATGCAGCCTTCTGCTTTGTCACCCGCTGTGCAGTGTGCTCCAAGACTGGACAGCCCCTCAAAATGCACTGCAGAAGGGCAGAAATCCAGGGCTTCACCCTTCAACATAGCACCCCTAAAGCCCACACTCGCCCCCAGTGTAAGTCCTGGGTGGGCAACGCCACGTGAACACTCTCCTGCTGCATACACCACTTATTCCCTCTTGCCCAGGACCATCTGTGTGAATCCCATTTGTCCATTCCCAGACAGTCCTTGCTCTTCCAGCTTCTGAGCTTGGCTCCTTTTCCTGTTTACACCTCTCCGAAGACGTGACCCTTAGCACAGCTGGCAGGCTTGAACTCTTGTTCCCTTTCTTCCTGGACCATGATTTCCACTTGACCTCTAGACACTGTGGCTTCCCACTGCCCTGGGCACGCGTCAGCATGGCCCCTCACCTCCCTCCCGTGAACTACTCTTGAAGAAGGTCAAATTCCAATCTCCCGACACTATGTCAGTATTCCTTCCCCTCTAGCGGAGATACTCTCTGAGGTGTGCTCAAAATCATGACTCAAATGGGAACAACAGCATATTTTACTCCCCCTCCCCCCCAAAAGTATATATTGTCTAAGCCCGTCACAGACCTTCCCTCCGCACAGGATGGGCAAACACGATTTTGCAAACATTGAACAGCTGCAAACTTGAAATAGGAATTTGCTAAGAGAATCACAATGCACAACAAAAGAAAAAAACAGTCTTTGTTTCTCCTAATGTGAATGTCAAGTCATATGAAACAACAATCTATTTTAAGAACATCTGGTCAATTACAAGTATTATTCAATCTAAGCAATTCAAAATGTTTATAAGGCAAGTTACTTATTAAGCACTGCTGGAGTTATGCAAGAAGTTGTGCATTGTGACGGAAGAGGTATGGATACAAGGAAGAGAAAGAGCTAGAAGGGAACACAGTCCATTGAGGGAGATATTCCCTATATTACCATAAAGGTAAAATGCGATTATTTGGCCAGAACCAACTCATCCCTGGGCTCTAGGGCTGTCGACCTCTGCAGCTCCTATTCTCCCAGCTTCACCCCTTCAAAACAAAGTAGGGGAAGAAAAGCAGTTGACTGTCAGCCAGTCATTGTCCACCTTCTGCTCTCACAACTTGCTCCAGCAAGCCCCTGCTTTCTTAAAGCTGGCTGAGTCACACCTATGTTTCTTCCTCAACCAAACTCCCGCCCCCTCCTCACCACTTCTCCAAATGCTCCCAACCCTCCGCGCCCTACACCAGTCCCTGGTGCTCCGAGAAGCTGCCCTGCTTTCTCCGAACCCCTCAGCTGCCAACCTTTCTCCCAGTCTCTGTTGCACGGGCTCTATCAGCGGTTCCCAAAGTGTGAAACAGCAGCATCAGCATTTCCTGAGAACTTGCTGGTCCACAATTTCCTGGGCCCCAACCCAGACTTCTGGGGTAGGAGGCAGAGACACAGCCATCTGTGTTTTTCTGAGCCTTTCAGGGTATTCTCCTGTGCAGGGAAGTCTGAGAACCACTGGTCTACATCCTTCCACAAGATAGCATTCGCCACCCAGGTCTGTGCGACTCCCAAGCCCGCCAAATGCACCGCCTCTCAAAAAATACCAGTATGATATTGTAACGGTGGATACACCTCATTCAGCATGTGTCAAAACCCATAGAATGTACAACACCAAGAGTCCACTGTAATGTAAATGTTGTGGACTGAATTGTGTCCACTCCAGATCCGTATGTTGCAGCCCTAACCCTCAGCGCGACTATATGTCTTTAGGAGGCAATTACAGTTAAATGAGGTCAAAAGGGTGGGCTCTAATCCAACAGGACTGTCACTTTATAAAAGAGGAAGATTCTATATCTCTGTCTCGCTCTCTCCTACATTTGAGGACACAAAGCAGCCTTCTGCAAGACAGAAGGAGAGCTCTCACCAGAACCTGACCATGCTGGCACCATGATCTCGGACTTCCAGCCTCCAGAACTGTGAGAAGGTAAATTTCGTTTTTATGCCACCCCGTCTATGGCATTTTGTTATGGCAGCCCGAGCTAATACAGTGAACTATGGACTACGGGTGAGAATGATGTGTCAATGTAGGTTCATCAATTATGACAAATGGACCCTCCGGTGTGAGATGTCAACGTGGTGGAGGCCGTGCATGTGTGGGGACAGGCGGTACGTAGGAACTCTGTACTTATCGCTCAGTTTTCCTGTGAACCTAAAACTCTTCTACATGGTAACTCCTTATTGATCTGCATCAGTTTTCTAAATCTAAATCCAAATCTGTTAATGTAAATCTGAATCTACAACTAAATCTATAAATCTAAATCTAAACTGCCCTAAAATAAAAAGTTTATTAAAAAAAATTTACTGTTTTCATTGAAATCCAAATAAGCCTATTGAAATGCAGATTCTACTGGAAAGAGTAATGTTTTAAGCTACTGTTTTCCCGAAACAGTTAAGTTTGACAGTTATTAAGTTTGATGCTAAAAATCTGAGAAATACTGGATTAAATAGAGTTGAACGGGTTCAGGTGTTTACTTTTTAACCATCTAACTGTACGGGTTTTCACATGCTAACGGCACTGTGACATTCCAAGGAGGGTGCGCAGCACGGCACAGCTAGACCACAGGCGCTTTCTCAAGCACCACACACACCATTAAGGTTCTGTAAGGAAAAAAAGGAAGAATGAAAGGTGCTGTTAGTCATTTCACTGTAACAGGCTGCCCTACATTCAGATTTTGCAGAGGAGAAGGGGCGAGCAGACAGAATCAACAAAGGAGGGCCCACAGACCAGAGAGAGGGCCCCAGCCCGTCTGAGCTGCCACTCTCACAGCACCAGTTCTTAACAGATTCACTGCAGAAAGAGCCACAGATGTGTTAAGCGCAGGTTGTATGCGCTTTGTCCCTTGCAGATACACCTGTACCAGTGAGGGAGAAGAGGAGTCCTGTCTTTTGGAGCATCCTGACTGGAACACAGCATCAGCAACCAGACTCTGACATACAGATGCTGGGTTGAGCGGGCCGTCTAACTAGAGGGAAGCTTTTCCTTCCACAGGGCAGGCCCACCTCCACTCCCTCCATCCCATCCAGAGCTCTGCACTTCCTCTGCCCGAAAAAAAGCCTGGGCTGGTGTGAGAAGCCACCAGAGCCACTTCCTGCAGCAAGCTCCAGGTTCCTGCTGTGCGGAGCCATGACTGAAGAGGGAACCCCAGGCAAACACGACAGAAGCCCCGCTGGAAACAGCCTTCAGGAAACTTCCAACGTCAGCCAGGACCGAGGTCCTTGACATTCCTCCTCCCCTGGCTCGGCAGACCTGTATCCTGCTTCCGGAAGTTGCCTCTCTTGCAGACGATGGCTTGGCTTGGGAAACAATTGGCATTCATGGCGGAGCGCTCACTCTTTCATTTCTAAGACCTGTAAAAGACTCCACATGCAAGCTTAAAATGTCTCGGGAGCTTCCCACAGCCGGCCCAGACAAGCCCGGCTCCCTGACCTCTGTCCAGGAGTGAAGGGCAGAGGAAGACACAGAGGGCCGGTTATTTCAACTCCAAAGTGCCCACATAAACATTACACTCGGGCTACCAGTGAGCGACGCTTTTAAATTCAAACATCAAGTCATTACATTTAAAGGCCAAAGGGGGTCTTTGGGTCCTTTATCCTTCCAGAGCTGATTTCCTTACGCTCAGCTCTTTAGGGGTTTGCTAAGACGTCACACAGCCACCCCCACCACCAACACCACTTCCTTCTCCCTGATAATGGACCACTCAGGGCATTATTGCCAAACCTTGCCAGTGACATCATTAGCCGTTATCTCCATTTCTTTAGAGAATTGAGCAGCAGCATATATTGATGAAGTTGACTAGCAGTGGGCCACCCCACCCCAGCCCTGTTCCCTGCTCTGAATTGATTTAGTCACACCTAGCCAAACAAAGAACAGTTTTGGGGGTTCGAGAAACCAGTTTATGCTATCATCTTCAGTTTCTCCTGCTCCTTTAGGTCAGTGCTGGTCGATGACAGGATGGCTATCCGGGAGCACACCTTTGGCTGGCCCCGA